TATGATGGAGGAAAAATGAATCTTTTCAGTGTATACATTTGTAGGCCTGATGCATATAAATGATCAGTCATGCCAAGGCTTCGGTGACCCATTTTTCAATAAGTCCTCCAGTGGGCCCCTGCACCAAACCATCCCCGGGCATCATGGAGGCTGGGACGGGACTGGGGGAGTGGATGTGCTCGGCTGCTTTCTATCAGTTACATCGGTGGATTCTACAATCGGCTCGTTAGTAATTGCTTATTGTGCGTCCTGCGGCCAGAGAAGGAGGGAACCCGTCTGACCCCCCTCCGTGACTGAGGAGCCAGAAGCCGCAGCCTCCCCCACTGAGGCTTCCTTGGACTGGACAGAATGGATTTCTCTCCTACAGGGGCGGGGTGGGGGGGACTAACTGGGACTCACCTGGGACACCTGGGCCGGGGCGCTGTGTTTTGGCCTGGTACCAGTACAAGGCCGCTGCTGTAGCCCGTGTGAGTGAGGGATGCTCTGTCCTTGACGAGAGGAGGTGGAGGCAGTGAGAGGCGCTTGCCAGAGACACGAGGCGCTGCTCGGTGAGTGTCCTATGGGCTGACGGGTTGGCGGTGATGAATGGGGAACACAGGAGAGATGGGAATGGAATGGATGAGGGCCTGTGGTAGCCAGGGTGGGATCGCTGGGGCCGGATACCTGACCTGGTGGTGTCCTGCATCCCTGGGGAGTGAGTGCTGCGCCGTCATCTCCGTCACCGTCTCCATGTGGGACCTTTATTACCTCCTTCTCTGACCTGACCTGCACAGTAACGTGTGAGCTGAGGCTCTGGGAGGGCAGCCAAATTGCCCAGAGCCCCATGGAGAGTGGAGGTCTTCCTGCCTAGGAGCCGAATGAGCCCTCTACACTGTCCTGCCCTGCCTCTCGGCAGTGATACCTGGCTTCTTTTCAGGACCTCTGCATCCCCTTGTCCCACTTGAGCCCAGGACCCGATTACTCTGGGGGCTCCATACGCCCCGGGGGAGGGAGCTCAGGCTGAGGAGGGTGGGGTGAGAGAGGGCTTCAGGGAACCAGCTGGGAAGGTGATGGTGGTGCTGCATGCCGGAGGCCCATGAGGCTTCCTTGAGGCCCTACAGACTCCAGGTCATCTTGTGCGCACACACGTGGGTGATGACCGCCATGGATAAGGCCTGTGCAGGCCTGTTGATAATCTCAGCAAAGCGCCTTGCACACCCGACACGCTCTACAGGTCCAATCCGCGGCGTCTACACTTCCTCTGGCAGAAGGTCACCGGCCCCCTACAGGATCTCCCTGCCTCGGGCCCCTCTTCCCTCCCAGCCATCCCACCAAAGTGCAGCTCCTTCCCTAATGGCACCCATGCCTCTGTTAGGAAGTTAGACTCTTCCCAGGCCCGGGACCACCAATCTTTCCCAGGCTTCTTTCTTACTCACGGCGCCCATAGGAAGCGCTCATTGATCGATCATTGATCGATTGAGCATCTATCTGACCCTCGCCTGTTGAAGGTGAACAGAGCACCCCGAGGTGGCACGGGCGAGCCGTCCGTTTCTGGCCTTCAGGTCAGCTCAGTCCGGCATACTCATTAAGTGCCCACGCTGTGCTGGGGATGCACAGATGGATCCCCCAGAGACCCGGCCCCGAGGAGCTCATCAGAACGCCCGGGGGGCCGGGGTACATGGACACAAGGGGCTGACACGGTGCACAGAGGTCCTGGCAGGACCGAGGCATTGCTTCTCAGCCCTCACCAGGGCGGTGGGTGGTCCGGCAATGGGTGTTTGCTGAGGGTGTGCCTGGGGTTCTTCATGCAGGAGGCTTAGTGTGTCCCTTTAGGAGCGATTTAGTGGTTTTTGAGAGGCAGTGCACCAGCCCTGGGGCAGGTCCTGACTCTGGGGCGAGTCACTTCCCTGTGGGTGTTCTGGGGTCTCTCCCTCCTCTCCAGGCCCTGTGCCAGTGCTTCATCTCTACCCCCACACCTCTCCTCAAGCACTGCCCCTTTCCAGCTTTGTCTTGCTGTGTTGTGTTCCTTCATTAGAAGGTAAGCTCCTGGAGGGCAGGGACTGTCTGTCTTCCTGCTTGTATTTGTATTCCCAGAACTTATTACTATGCCCGGTACACAATAACGGCTTAATGCATGCTTACTGACTGACCAATTGACGAGGCCACTCTCATTTGTAGAGAAGGTGCCAACCTGCATGGGCAGAGGGCATTTCCTCACCCCGCTGAAATCCCAGGCCCAGGACACACCGTTGTTCCTCCTTCCTTATCCAAAGGCCCCGAGTGCACCTTGACCTCCTTACCTTGCTGCTGCTTCTGGTAAGGAAGCTTCCCAAAGATTCAGGTGTCTTTGGGATTTATGGTCTTGATCAGTGGATCTGCTCTCCCTGGAGGTGCCCATGGGTGTATAGTGGGGCTGTTTGCTCACACTCACCACTGGGACAGCTCAGCCTCAGGATGGGCTTTGGATGAGGAAAGCGAGGGCCAGAGAGGTCGGGTGAGGTGCTGCAGGTCGTCCCCAGAGGTGGCCCTTGGACCCAGGTCCCCTCTTCTCTACCATGCTGCCCTGGCCTTGGTTTTCTTCATGGTGAATATGAGAATCACGATGTGTGGCCTGTCTCTCCAGGTGTGGAGTGGTGGAGAAACACTTTCAAATCCACCCAAGCCCATAGCAGCTGAGCTGGCCTGGAGCATGGTGGCGAGGGGCGGTCAGGGTTCAGCCGGACAGAGGAGGAGAGTTGGTGTGACTCTGGATGGGTGGGGGGCTGTGATTTATGGCATCAGCCGAGGCTGAGTCAGAGTGAAAGCGGCGTCTGCCTGGGGGCCCCACTCGGATGCCCTGGTGTGGCGTTGGGGCTCGCCTCTCTGCAGAATCAGATCGCGCATGGATTGTGTGCAGAGAGTGGGGGAGGTGGCTGATGGGGGCTTTGGGGAGGCCCGACTCCTGGGACAGATCCAGGAAAAAATCAGCTGCCGAAGGAGACTCTCCTTTGGAGGCCGTGAACTGCAGGAGCTCCTGCGTCTTGTTCCTTTATTCCTCGGGTAATCTGTTTTGACTCACTTATCTTCCTTCCACAACTGTCATCATCACTGCAGTTTTTCGGAGTACAGCGGCAGGCTGCACCTTCATGGGAAATCATTTCCTTGGGCTTTTTTTTCTCCTGGTTCAGTGAATTCAGTCATTTTCTGAACTAGTGATTCTCAAGTGTGCATCAGAGTTGAGTCTCACACTGATCTGCACCCGGTGTCAGAGCCCTCTCAGAGTTCTTTAGAAGCCAGTCCTGGCTTAAGATCTCATGAGCTTTCACATGTAGAACCCTCCCCCCCACCCCCTCGGCATGCGTGATCTCGGGAGATGCTCCTGCCCTCTGAGATGGGCAGTGGCTCCCCATTCCCTGCCGAGTATGGAGCAGACTCCTTGGCCCGGCCTTCACAGCTCTTTCCAGGCCCCGGGTTCTTTCCATCCCACCTGCCCAGCTCTTCTCTTGGCCTCAGAGCTCCCTGCCTCGGTGGAGCTGGGCCTTCCCTGCACAAGCTGAGCCTTTTCCCTCTCTCAGTGTTTTAGTGATTTCTTTAAGAGTTGGTCATTGGGGCAGCTGTGAAGAGGCCCATGGAATCCACTGACGCTTTGCCTGTCTCCTGAGAAAGCCGTTTCGAGAGTGAGATTCTATGAATTTAGAGGGGAGAGAGGCAGACATGGGCTCATCACTGACCATTGCCCAGACTTCTCATCAGATGGGGAGTTGGCATTAGAGAGATCTGCCCAGTCCACTGGAGGACTCGGCCCCAGCAACAGAGCTGGAGAGGAACATTGGGAGGGGTGGGATACTGGACCTATGTTGGCACATCCTTCTGGAGAGTGGCTTGACTTGCCTGGGTGAGCTTTTGTAGAATTGACTCAGCCTTAGAACAAGTGATGTCAGAACTGGGAGGGCCTTAGAACAGGGAAGGTCAGGGCTGGGAGGGGCCTTAGAACAGGGGATGTCAGAGCTGGGAGGGGCCTTAGAACAGGGGATGTCAGGGCTGGGAGGGGCCTTAGAACAGGGGAGGTCAGGGCTGGGAGGGGCCTTAGAACAGGGGATGTCAGGGCTGGGAGGGGCCTTAGAAAAGGGAAGGTCAGAGCTGGGAGGGGCCTTAGAAAAGGGAAGGTCAGAGCTGGGAGGGGCCTTAGAACAGGGAAGGTCAGGGCTGGGAGGGACCTTAGAACAGGGAAGGTCAGGGCTGGGAGGGGCCATAGAACAGGGAAGGTCAGGGCTGGGAGGGACCTTAGAACAGGGAAGGTCAGGGCTGGGAGAGCCTTAGAACAGGGAATGTCAGGGCTGGGAGGGGCTGTAGAACAGGGAATGTCAGGGCTGGGAGAGGCCTTAGAACAGGGAAGGTCAGGGCTGGGAGAGCCTTAGAACAGGGAAGGTCAGGGCTGGGAGAGCCTTAGAACAGGGAAGGTCAGGGCTGGGAGGAGCCTTAGAACAGGGAAGGTCAGGGCTGGGAGTTGCCTTAGAACAGGTGAGATCAGAGCTGGGAGAGCCTTAGAACAGGGAAGGTCAGGGCTGGGAGGAGCCTTAGAACAGGGAATGTCAGGGCTGGGAGGGGCCTTAGAACAGGGGAGGTCAAGGCTGGGAGGGGCCTTAGAACAGGGGAGGTCAGGGCTGGGAGGGGCCTTAGAACAGGGAAGGTCAGGGCTTGGAGTTGCCTTAGAACAGGTGAGATCAGAGCTGGGAGAGCCTTAGAACAGAGAATGTCAGGGCTGGGAGGGGCCATAGAACAGGGGATGTCAGGGCTGGGAGGGGCCTTAGAACAGGGCAGGTCAGGGCTGGGAGAGTTCTTAGAGATCATCTAATACAAAAAAGTCTCATTTTATAGATGAAGAAACTGAGGTCCTGGAAGGGAAGTGAGTTCCCCCCGGCTGGGCAGTTAGTGACCGCGCTGGGCATCCTGCCCAGAGCGCCAGCCCCTCTGCGGCCCTCAGAGTGGCAGTGGCTCAGTAATAGCGTTTGGTCCATTCATTTATTATTTACTCTTTCCAGAACAAGTGCATCGGCATCTAGAACAGCACGAGGTGAAGTACCTGCAGTTTGCCTTCCGGTGGATGAACAATTTGCTGATGAGAGAGATGCCACTGCGCTGCACCGTCAGGCTCTGGGACACCTACCAGGTGAGCTCTGCTGGGGGCCAGTCGCTGCAGGGCGGGGCAGCCCCCTGGCCCATCCCCTGGAGGGGGGTTTCTATGGAGGGCAGGGCCCAGCTTGTCCCTGGGCAACCTCCTGCTGCTACTGTTCTGTCTCCTCTTTCTTCCCCGCCCAGCCTCCAGTGCTTGAAGCGCAGCCCCCACCTCCCAGAATCCTCTCCTTCAGAGTCCCTGTTCCCCCTCCCTTCAGTTGCAGGTGGGAAGACCTCAGGCTTCCACCTTTTGCGTTGCCATTCTCAGGTCCTCCCCAGAGTCGGGTTTTGGGCGGCCTGGACCTGGCAGAGGTCGGGGCGCTGTCCCCTCTCTGGTCCTCAGGACTGTTGACACATTCAGTGACCTTTCATCCCCCAAAGGGCACACAACCTCCCCTCCCAGTGCTCATTCTGGAGCCCAGATGGGCTTCCCCGAGACCCTGCCCCTCCTTGTCTCCAGACACTGCCCTGCAGTCGGCTGATGAGGAGATGCTCAGGAGTCATCGCCCGTTCCCCACGTTTTCTCTTAAGGGCGGTGTACCCCCGAAGCATTCTCTTTCCCAAAGATTGGTTGAATTTCCCTCTTTTCAGGGTTTGGATTTTTGTGACAAATGACCTTCATTCCCTGGAAAATTTCATGGAGGGCCCAGTGGCCCAAGGAACTTTTTGTTTATGAGGATGGCCTCCTGTAACATCACTAGCTGTCCATTAGATACAGTAGTGTTTCATGGATCAACTGATCCCCTGAGTCAGGAGAAATAGGCAAGCAGCTGAATGATGCCAGTGGGGGACTGCAGGACTGTAGGGCCCCCATTTCTCCCCTTTCCCCTTTGTTGAGAAAACCCAAGCCTGTGCCGTGAGCTCCTTCCTCTCTCCTGCTGTATACCTCAGAAATGTCCCACGGCACCCCCTTTTCTCTAGCCTGAAGAAGCAGCCTTTGTCTATGCCAGAGATCAGCCCAGCGCTGGTAGCCTTGACCTCGTCCCCTCCCGCCTCCCAGAGTCTGTCCTCGTTCACATTCAGCCTCCTGTTCTCCGTCTCTGTCTCTGCCCCCATCTGCCTGGGTCTTCCCCTCCTCAAAGACCTTCACTTGGCTCTTATGCTATTGCCCTGTGACCATTTGACAGCCAAACTCTGTTGGAACCACTACCGTCTATGTGCACCCATCACTGTCCGTTCCTCGTGGCCCATTCGTGTCTCGGCTCATGGCCTCTGGCTTCCACTTCGCCTCTGGATGGGAGTGGTTCTGTGTAAAGTCACGAAGGTGTCTCGATCGGCAAATCCAGTGTCCTTTTCTCTAGCTTCACTCTTGCCGACCTCTCTCTGCAGCCTTGGATGCTGCTGGGGCCTCCTCCCCCTCCTCCTGCTCTCCCTCCTTCCTCCTTCCCCCCCCTCCTTCCTCCTCCTACCCCTCTTCCTTCCCCCCCTCCTCCCTCCTCCTCTCCCTCCTCCCCTTTCCTCCCCCTTCCCTCTCTCCCTCCTTCCTCCTCCTCTCCCTCCTCCTCCTCTCCCTCATCTCTCCTTCCCCCTCTCCTGGTTCTCTTCCCACCTGTGTGACAGTGCCTTCTCACTTCCTTTGTGGAGTTGCCTTCTCTCTCCCCCCACAGTCCCATCCTCCTTCCCCTCTCCTCTCTCGTGAATCCCGACACTCCGATGGGTTCGACTCTCTTTCCTCTGTAGCAGGCCCTCAGCTTGCTCCTGTGCCAGCTGACAGCTGGCTGGACTTCTCCTCCTAGCCCTCCCTGGTTCTTGTCCCAGAACAGAACTAAGTATCTCCCTCCTCTTTCAGCTGAGGCCGTCCCAGCCTCCCCGTCATCCCCTTTCACAGTGTGGGAGCTGCCCTCCTTCTTCCCTTCCTCCCGGGGCCAGGCCCTGCTCCCCGTTGCAGGAGCCCAGAGGCTCTTTCTGTCCTTGTCCCTTCCTTCTGACATTCCAGAGCCGTCCTGGCTCCCTCTGGCCTCTTGGGTAGCATGTGGTCCATAAACATTTGTTAAGCTTGTACTGTGTGCCAGGCACTGTGCTGAGTGCAAGGGATGCCAGTAAGAAGTCCCTGCCCTCTGAGAGCTTACATTCTAGTGGGGAAGACAGCACATCACTGGGAGGGGGGCCAGACTGGGCCTCTGCCCCCCCTCCATCCCTCTAGGCAGATGCTCAGGGGAGCTGTGAGGTCCGGGGCTGGGGGCCAGATGTCCTAGAGTCCTGACCTAGCAGAAGCCTGCTGTACAAACCGCTTTACGTTTCCAGCTGTCTGCGCTCTGGCTTCACGTCCTGCCCCTCCAGGGGCTCCTGGCCGAGCCTGTCTCTCTTTGCCAGTGTGCCTCTCACATCTGACCCACCCTCCATCCACCCCCCCCATCCTCCCCCCCCACTCATGCCTTCAAGACTCCACTCAGATGCTATTTCTTATCCCCTGGTGAGAGTTTCTTCTCCGAAATTACTTTGTTTTTCCTTTGTATGTATTCTGTATTTCTTCTTCTGTGTTCTGTGCGATGTCAGCTCCTTGTGGGTGTCCCTGCCGTGTTGCGTAGTGGCAGATGTCAGAGTCTCTTGGTGCCTGGCCTGGAACCCTGCGCCCTGCCCAGCTCCGTCCTTCCGCGTCCCAGGGCTCTCGGCTGTGGCATTCTCAGCTCCCAGGGACCCTCACGAAGTCAGAGGATGCCCCATCAGAGGGTCCTTTCTGTCTTGGAGACTTTCAGCTCCTTCCTTGCTGGCAAACCTCTCCCATTGAGCATGTGTTTTATACTAGCAATGTTTTTAGCATTAATTTTTTAAAAATTAAATTGATCGTGATAAGGCACGAGCTGTATTCTCAGTGTTGTGTGGCGTTCACCTACTGTGTGTGCACACAGGTTTGTGATGCATTTGGTGATGAGTTCTTTTCTTTCTGGGGCTTTTTATTTCTCTTCTGTTATTTTTTAAAAAATGCTCCATTTGTGAGTTCTGCTGCTGCAGATGCTTGGAGGAATGCTTATCATCTCGTTCTTGCACTTCCCCCTGGATCCCTGGTTGTCTTCCTAGGCCCAGCACTCTGCCAGGATGTCAAGGCTTCCCCTGGACAGTTGGGGTGAAGGAGCTGTCAGCCTTGGCCTGATTGATCCAACTTGGTGGTGTTACAGGAAGCAGAATGTAACATCCCGTAAAGTGCAGGCGGTGCTCTTGATTTTGTCATTGGTTATGCTATTGGAGACATGGGCCCCCTCATTAAGCACTGCGTTCTCTGGTAACACTGTCCCCATTAAGGATAAATTAGGTATTAAGTCAGTCGCATTTTGAGGAGGCAGGAAATAGATCTCATGGTCTCTGGCCCTGCATCACTTCACTAAAATTCCTAATAGATATTAAAACGTGAAGCACAATTGTGGCATCTTTATCGAGTTAATTTTCCTGAAATTAAATTTGGGCATGAATGGAGTCATTTGTACTATGGAATCACTTCTGAACTGACAGTACCCTAGTCGAAAGCCTTTTTACATCTTAAAAAGCGGGGGTATTTCTATCTTACAGGGCCAAGTAACCATGAAATTGCATTGCATCTTTTGGCAATGAAAATACATGGTAATCATAGGATTGCAATCGGGTTATTACTCTCCCCTAAACTAGAGGCTTTATTAGCTGGGGGGTTATGTGCCTCAGTAACTGTTTAACCCGTTAGAAGTTAACTGGAAAAACTCGTGGTGAATGTTGTGATATAATTTCCTTCTGTGTGTAACCCATGGATCAGTGATGGCGGCTTTGCTCTCCTCTCCAAGTCCAGAGTTTAGTCACTGACTCATTAAACCCAGGCTCTGGAAGGGACCCTACAGCTCATTGAGTGCCCACTGGGGAGTGGGATTCTCCATAATGTTTCCCTTTCATAGGGGAGGCCCATCCAGAGGGGAGAAGGGTCTTTCTGGGGGACACTTTGGAGAGATGAGATGATTGTGTTGACGGGAGTCCAATAGGTGCTTTCTGCATTTGAGGTTGGGCTCTTTGGAATCCTCACTCTTCCCATGGGACTGAGTGTCAGCTTAAATGCTGAACAACATCGTTTGAGCTGTGGTGACCTCCCTTCAGAAGTCCGTCAGATCCTCTCTTCTCCTTCCGCCCTGAATTCTGCTTGTTAAGACGGTGTACTAAGAGTGTGAAGACGTATTCTGGAAGCAGATCCTGGAGGGACTGTACTGTTGTAACTGGCTGAGCCCAGGGGAGGATCTGAGAAAGGACCGTGAGTAACACTCCTTCCCCAGTCATGACAGAAAGCACGAATGGAAGGGCACACAGAGCTCGCTCAATGCCCATCGCGGTGGTAGCCTGTAGAAAAGGTTTTTGTCAAAAGTGCTTCCAGCTCTGTCCTCAGCTGTTAGAATTCCTCAGTTGGATTTTGCATTTTTTGCATTTTCTTTGTGGTGGAGTAGACTGTCCTGCACTTGACGTGTGCATTGTTACCCCGAGTGCTTGAATAGGGTTTGAGGGGCCCTTTTATGGCAGAAATTTTCCTTTGTAGTAAACTGTGTTTCAGTAGTGTGGGCCAAAGAGAGAGTGGTTTTTTAGGGTAGAACTAGGGCCACGTGAGCTTGGAGCTTGTGGTTCTGGGCCCTGTATAGTAATTACTATGCTTTGTTTTGTATGTAAATTTTATTTCCTTTCCTCTGGCCATGCCATATTCTCCCCAGGGGGCTGCCTGCTTGAGGACCCAGGTGGCTTCCTTTTTGTCTTTCTCCATCCCTAGGCCTGGCCTGTTGCTGGGGAAATCGAAGGGAATGAATCATTTTGAGCATCACAGCCCAGGGATCCGCCTGCCAGACTGTGCAGCAGACGGTGCAGTCCCGTCTTGGAAGACGTGGCCTCTTTCCCTGATGAGGCGGGTTCTTCTCTCCAAGGCTCACGTTGTGTGATTCTGAGCAGAGAGATGGATAGGTGTTTGCTGGGGAGTGACCAGATGCCTCTTTAGTGAGCTGGTGTGGCCCACGTGCTTGTCCTCTGCCTGGGCTCACTGAACAGTGCCCTGCAGCGGCG